CCCACCCCTGCCAGTTTTATCTGTCGGCCCTCATACACACATCTCTCTCTCTAACATTTCCTTTATCTTCTTTGCCTTTATGTCTTCCATTGTCCCCCCCCCCCCCACCTGCAACCTCCTTCTCCTCACCTCCATCGTCACCCCTCATTTAATTCTACTCACCTCCATCATCAATGGATTTGAAACCATCACCCCCTAAAAACCCTACGCCGATCAACCTTCCCAAATCCTTATAGTCTACGGATCTTGGAGCCTCACAATCCGGTAGTAAGTCCTATGTAGATGCAGAAGTTGAAGCTTCACATGCAAATGGAAACCACGACTCGGTTCCGTTTAGACTATTCGTAGTCCGTTTTGGTTATTCAAGCTCATCTGAACCTGATTCGAACTGGCGCTTGCGTCAGAAATACGGATCCAATCTCGTGTTAGACACATACGACGGTTTGGACGGGTTGAATTCAGATGATGGAGGGGTGAAGTGAACTCGGGACCGACACAGTGAGGAGGAGAAGAGAGTGACGATGACGGGGAAGACATTGACAATAAACGAGTCCTCAAGGACTATAATCTCCGAACCCTTACTCGTGATGTCTTTAATGTTATATGGACTTATGATTATGAAGGGGGTGTTGTCTTTACCTTGCGTGATGATTGAATGATTTGGCTAATTGTATGACAAGTGATGATTTAAGGGTTGAGATTCAGTTATGATGGGGGTTTGTGTGTTTGGGAATGCTATTTCACCTCTTTGAATGTGACATCTCCTTTTTGCTTTATGAATGTATGTTGTGCTTGCTTAAGATGAGTTTGAGTATTGTTAGCCTACGATATGTAACCTGTGATCATGATTTGTGTGTCTGTCTATGCTAAGTGACATGTGATGACTCTGACTGAGGTGTGTTAGCCTAAGATATGTAGCATGTGATCATGATTAACAGTGTTTGCCTATGCTAAATGACCAGTGATGAATTTGTAATGATTCTGAGGCTTGGTTACCTAACATATGTATCACGTGATCCTCCTTATGTGTGTTTGTCTATTCTAAGTGAACTGTGATGAATATGTGATGACTCTGAATTGATTATGAGGTCTGGTTGGCTCGGATACGTGGTCATGATTATCCGTGTTTGCCTATGCTAAGTGAACTGTGATAAATATGTATTGATTCTGAGGTCTTGTTGTCTAGGATATGTAACTTGTGATCATGATTATTTGTGTTTGCTCGTGCTAAGTGAACTGTGATGATTATGTGGTGTTTTGTAGACAAGTGTACAACAAAATATGCTTCCATTGCTTTTGTTTAGATAAAAAAGTGTACAATAGTAGCATGGGTACATAAAAAAATTGTAGTCTCATGCCTGTGATAATACATACAAAAATAGTACACCACCTTGTACTTATAAGCTCATTGTACTTACAAAGACATTAAAAGAGTATATAAAAAGGGTATATTACTTCATACTTGAAGATGTTGTTCATCTTCATGTATGAACTGAGTCCTTTCAGTTGTATGTGTGGATTTTGTTGCCATATGTTCATCCATGAATGTCTTAGTTGTTTCATACAAGTCAAGGGAGATTTGGACATTTTTTGGTAGCATCCTTTGTCTTTGTAACTTGTCTTTTCCCACATGTTTGAGTTTGAAATTTTTGCCTTTTCTGTTCTTTAAGATTTCTTCCATTACATATTGATAACTTGAAAAGACTTTGTTCAATTGTTGAGGTGTGAGCTCCTCATATGAGGCTTGCATTGCCTGTATTAAATCCATGTTATTTTGGGGGCATTTTGATTCTTTGTGGAATCAATAGTCCTAAAGAAGTCTAGGTCTAATACATTTAAATCTGGACTGTTGGGAGGTTAACATTGTAGTTGGATATTCCATCCATCATCTGATCCCGATTTAACAAATTCTGCATCATGTATTTCAATATGAGCCCTATTATTATTATCTTGTTGAATGATCACTTGTCTATTTTCTGAGTGTGGTCAATAATTGGCTTTGATTGCTGCCAGTAGGGTTTTGAGTATCATTTCTTTTATTACTTGCCTAGTGACACTTAATGTTGGTTTGGTTTCTAAAGTCCCAACAACCATATTCTTGCTTGATGTGATGATCTTTTGCTTTGTCTTCGTATGTGAATGGAAATATTCATATTTTCTCATCCCACCCCTCCTCCAAACTGTCAGCAATCATAGGTCTCCCAACCGTAGCGAAGAACATGATTTTGGGAATAAGCTTCTTTGATTGAGCTAGTCTGTATAAACCATCTTCTATGGGGGAAGGGTGTAAAAACGGGAATTTCTTTTGTTAAATAAAATCAATTTTTCATCTATGTCAACACAATCATGAAAATCATGAAATGTTGGTGTTGTGTGCACTGATTGAGGAATTATCTAACTTATGCACTTAACACCATAAAATTATATTTGCAAAAAAAATTTATGATCATGGTGCTATATATATATATATATATATATATATATATATATATATATATATATATATATATATATATATATATATATATATATATATATATATATATATATATATATATATATATATATATATATATATATAGGGTAAGGTTCAAGTGAGAAGACCCCTTTGGGTGAGAAATGAGAATGAATCTCAGCCATTGGATTCGACTAAGTTGCAGTAAAAGACACATCATGATGCACTGAAATATGCAATCTAGCACGGTGGCATTTCTGTAAATACTTCTGAAAAATCCGTATTACACGTGTCTAGTGCAACATGAAGCTATTTCGGTGCAACACCGTCAAATATTAGTGCAACATGAAACAGTTTTAGTGCAACATGTGCAAAATTTAAATATTACTGCAACATAAAGCCAATTTTAGTGCAACTTCGTAAATCCAATGGCTGAGATTCATTCTCATTTCTCACATTAGATGCATTTCTCACCTGAACCAAAATATATATATAGAGAGAGAGGGGTTTTCTCATGCGTCCGTCCGCACCCTTTTTCTGTCCGTCCAAAAGAATAATAGCCCTCCGATTCATTACACGGTTGAGATGCTCTTTTCATTAAAAACATAACACACCTCTTTCATTTTACGCCAAACCCGTCTCAGCCTTAATAAGATGAAAAAACTCACCGCTCCTGCACGCTTCTTCCTTGTGGTTTGCCGTCTTGATGCCGGCGAAGGAGCTTTCTGTACCGGCGTGCCTTCATATTTAAATTGACTTTCGAATCAAGAAGCCACCATAGTCAGGTAATACAAAAGCGTATTCCTTCTCCTTTGAAGCTAAAAATTAGCCGAAAGTTATTCTTTCAATTGGTTAAAAAAATTCGTATTTGTTAAAACTTGAAAGGACTGATTTTAAATTCATAATTATTTTACTTTTCGTAAGTTGTTAAATCGTTTTAACTGGTGTAATTGATCTTCAACGGAAGTCAATTTCCAAATCAAAAAATCTAAATTTAGTGCTTCACGTTAGGACTGATTTTCATTTCTTAGTGATTTCACTTTAGGACTGATTATAATTTCTTAATTATTACACTGTAGGACTGATTTTAAATTCTTAGTGACTAGTTGTGCTCTAAATTTTTTATTAAATGTACTGGTTAGGTTTTTTTGTAAAAGAAATTTACTGAAAATTTGAATCAAATACAGGCTGTTGGTTTTTTTATTGTTAATATTACGAAATGAGTATGTAATTGAAAGAAGAATGAGGTTGTATAAATTTTTTCAAGGATGTTTTATTCATTTGTATAAATTTTTTGTAGCAATGCCTTCGTAGAAGAATTTGTTTGCCCATGTCACTACTGTGGTCCAATGCAATTGAAGGAAATAATGTCGGGTACAAACATGGGATGTTGGTATTTCAAGTGTGGATGTTGTGGCATATTCATATGGCGGGATAGCTTATGCCAAATTGCTCATGACTTAAGCATCAATTCTACTGAAATTGATACAAATATCAAATGACGGTAGCCGCCGAGAAGATAATAGCAGTTATGCTGAAGTGGTTTACCAACTTAAATGTATCAAGTATTGTTTCGTAGTTGCTATAATCGCGATCACTCTTCAGTGGTTACTAGCAATGTAGAAGTAACATCATTGTATTTGTATGAGGCAAGTTGTACTATGAAAGATGTAGTGTATTCATTTTAACGAGTAGAAGTTGAGTCAAATGTAATGCACTACAGGATTAAATGCCAATTAGTTTTTTATTTCTTAAGTGACTAATTTAGTTTTGTTGTTGGTATTTTACCTTTTTTTACAACACAAATAAATGTATTTGCTATCATTTGTAGTTGAAAAGTGATGGCATGAATATCACAATTACTCCCAGTTTTCTGTTTATGATGACATTGGAAGTTAGATTACATTACTTTCCATGGGATATGCTGCTGCATGTGTGAGATGAGACAGTGTCCCTAAACTACATGGCAATTCATCTTAGAAAACTGGAGAATGAATAAATGAAGTCCAACACTCTTGTTCCTCCAAGAAGACCTTCACTAGTAAGAAGTTCAAAATCTAGCAGCAGTAGAAAGCCAATTGCAGCAGTTATTTCATTTATGAACTCATTCTTTCTGGAAAATCCATGAACAAAATTTGGTGGTACAAGCACTTTTAAGTGAACTGTCTTGATCAGCAAAAAACATAAACAAACACATAAACAAATCAAACAAAATAGTACTGCTGGGATAAGAGTACTATTTTGAAAAACCAGAAATAGAGTTAAAAACCAGAAATTTGAAAAACCAGAAATAGAGTTAAAAAATGAGGAATCTGCAGTCCACAAATAGAACTTACAGCTCACAATTCAAACTCCTATGAACAATTGGCAGTGTTGTTTGATATGCTTGTTGGGATAAATGTCATTCTTAGGCTTGAGGTTATTGAAAACAGTTGCTTGGGAACTGCTTCTTTGTATTGTGGAATGCATTAAGGCTTCTTAAATTCCCATGCAAATACTAAAAAATATCAATACATAACTACATAAACACTCAAGCTATAAATACATAAACAAGTCATCCATTATCTCAAGTCGTGAAATCCTGAAATATGAAAAAACTCAAGTACAACTATTTCCATTTCAAGCAAAACACCAGAAATGTAACAGTGGTAAACACTTAAGCTAAACATACATAAACAAATCTCCACACCGCACAACATTTGCTCATAATAATCAATTACACTTGTTCCTCCATTGTGTCCTTTGCTGCCTCCCTGTAATAATACACAAAAAGTCACAGTTAATTTAGTTTATATAACATTATACAGTACATGTAACATAAATAGAATTACTTCTTACCATTTTGCTTGTTTTGGACAATTACGCTTATCATGCCCATGACCTTTGCAAACACGACACAAACGGTTCAGTGAAGTCCCCTTTTCTATGCCTGACTTTAATCGTTTCCCACAACCTTTATGTCGCGCATGATCGGGCTCCACAAATTCTACCGTACATGATGCTTCACTTCCTTTACTTGGCCTCGTTTTATCACTTGACTTTTGGGATAGATGATCGTTGAACTTTTTGCGCCACTCTTCCAGTAATGATAACCCATATTCTTGGTCTTCTGGTGACTCAGATATGAGATCATAGTAACCACCAAGAAATGCATCATATGCTTTGCTATTTCCCCAGTGAACTCTCTTTTGCGGTCTTCTCTTATCTCATTGCCTGACTGATCCCTTACAATTTCTCTTCTTGGACCTTTCTTCCAACGGTCCATAATGTAAAAACTAGGGATGTCGTATATTTTCATACCATCTAGGACCCTTAATAAATGTGCACATGGTATACCCATAAACTCAAACTGCTTGCACGAACAACTACCAATTTGTGTCAAACGGTTGAAATGCACTACACGACTTCTCTTTATTTCAATGTCGTTGGAGACACCTCTGTAAGTTAACTTGAAAACAATATTATCTCCCTCTTCCACATTCTCATCCAAATTGTATGTGAAACAGTTATGCAGTCCTATTTGAAACTCCCGGAACATGGTTGATGTATATGTATTTGCCATTTGTAACTCCACTTGAGTCCCATATTGAAGCTTAGGACGCCCATTTCTATCCTTGTGATCCATTTGGTTCTCACGCTCCCTCTGTCTTGACAGTGCTCTATCAAAACGAGTAACAAACTCATTGAAACCGCACCCCTTGTACACATATTTCTTCAAGAAAGAGTGTGTTGTTTCACTCCTTTGAGTGGATGACATACAAGCTGCGAATACATTCTTGAAATAAGCTGGAACCCAATGGTCCCGAACTTGAAACATGTAAGAAATCCATTCATTTTCTTCCAACCCAACCTCATTAACAAGCTTTTTCCATTCCGCTTCAAATTCATATGGTGTCTCGGAATATTTTATAATACCATAAATTCTATTGAAACCATCCAAAGAATTTATTACACCACCCACCTTCTCAGGGATCTTACGAATAATGTGCCACATACAATAGCGGTGGTAGATGTTTGGCAGCACAAAATTAATGGCTTTGGCTAAAGCTGGATCTTGGTCAGTGATAATAACATTTGGTGGAGGGCCAGGCATTGCTTCCAAAAAGGATTTTAAGATCCAAACATAAGATTCACAATTTTCTTTGTTCATGAATGCACACCCAAACAACACCGTTTGAAAATGATTATTTACTCCAACAAATGGAGTGAAGGGAAAGCCATACGTATTTGTGTTGTATGTTGCATCAACAACAATTGTATCACCAAAGTAGTGATAGGAGCGCCGACATGTAGGATCGGCCCAAAATGCTAATTCAAGCTTGTTTTCACTATCTTTTCTAACCTTGTAAAAAAAAGATGGGTTGTGCTCTTTTTCTAATATGAAGTGTTCGACAAATAATTGGGCGTCTTGACCCTTAACTTTCACACTTTCATCTCTAACATAATTTCTCAAATCTGTTTCTAGAAATCCAACATCACCCACACCGCTAGATTCAGCCATGAATACACCCATAGCTTGAGAGATTGAGATATTGTTTGATTGTAGGCTTGACAAAAGCTTCTTTTTGACATCTGACACGGTACGATGAGATTTGAGCAAGTGAATCTTGCTTGGGGTTTCACAACAATGATTATGCACTTCATCAAATCGATAAACACTAAACACTTCCTGATTTCTGGTTTTAGAAACACCAAGCATGGCTTTACACCCAGTACGAATATTATATCTACATCGTTCCGTGTCAACCTCTTGCATTGGATTTTTTTCAGCACCCTCTTTATAACAAAGGTAAACCCTACTCTTATCTGTCCCGTCTTTGCATTTCTTCAAGTTATCTTTGCGCACACTGAACCCAGCCAAATAAGCATAACTATTGTAAAATTTATAGGCCTCGTCCAAGTCTTCGAATGTCATCCCAATATATGGTTTTTTATGACTCGGCACGTTGGGGATGAAATGAGTGACTGCCAAACTACAAGCTGTTGTCTGTCTAGACGATTCCATGATTCTAATTTCCTTAGAGAATATGAAATATGTTAATTCAGTTTATGAGTAAATATTAAACAAAATTCAATCGCCCAGGGATCCATTTATTTTAGTATTGTATTACTCAATATATGATTATTTGCCTAACAAATATGACAATTACAGAGTATAAATATAAGTTTATTTAATCATTTTCGTTTATATATCTCACTTTTGTTTACTTCCCTTAAAGATGAATTTAAGATCAATTACAGAATCAAAATAAATCAACCACAGCATCAGCCGATAAAATCAGGTCTAACCAAATACAAAAGTTGAATCTAAAATAATTTCTAAATTCAAAACACCTGGATTTAATTTTAACCATTGAAAACATTTAAGCTGAGTAGGGCGGTTTTAAGAGCACAAGGAGGAGAGTTCAAAATAAATCAAACAATTGAAAACAAGCATCAGTTGATTTAAAGAGCACAAAAAGAAGGAGAATTTAAAAAAATTGAACAATTGAAAACAATAAAGCATCGGTTGATTTAAAGAGCAAAAGTAGAAGGAACAAATTTTGTTTACCTGAGACACAGGTGGTTTACCAGAGCTCCTTTGAAGGCATGTAAGCACTGGATATCATGCAAAGTGAACTGTACGGGGGCGGAGAGATTGTTTATCGCTGTGGTTTACCAAAGCTCCTTCTCCGGCACGAAGGCTGCAGACCACAAGGATGAACTGCACGAGAGCTGAGAGATTTTTAATCTGGCTGAGATGGGTTTGGCGTAAAATGAAAGAGGTGTGTTATGTTTTTAATGAAAAGAGCATCTCAACCGTGTAATGAATCAGAGGGCTATTATTCTTTTGGACGGACAGAAAAAGGGTGTGGACGGACGCATGAGAAAACCCCTCTCTCTCTCTCTCTCTCTCTCTCTCTCTCTCTCTATATATATATATATATATATATATATGGGAGTGGTTCCAGTAAGAACAGATCTTAGGAGAAAAATGAGAACGAATCTGGACCGTTGGATTGTATTATGTTGAACCAAAATATGCATTTGGTGAAACTGAAATGTGCATTAAATGATATTGAAATGTGCAAAATAAAAATTTAAACTCAAGTGTGCATTAGATAAAACTGATATGTGCGGAAAAAAGTACAAAAACAACATCACATCGTACTTTTTATTCTGCACATTTCAGCTTCACCTAGTGCACATTTCAATTTCACGTAATGCACAATTCAACTGCACATAATGTCACTCTATCGTACCCTTTGTGATGCACATTTCAATTTCATCTAATGCACATTACAGTTTCATCTAATGCACACTGAATTTCACTTGAAGCAAATCTAACGGTCCAGATTCGTTCTCATTTCTCTCATAAGATCGTGTTCTTATTTGAACCAAAACCATATATATATATATATATATATATATATATATATATATATATATATATATATATATATATATATATGTAAATGTTCATGTAAGGTAGATCTAAAAGTTGAAATTTTAGGCCTCTTTCAATTGAGGGGCATCATGGACGAATTTTTTTATGAAACTTTGTGAAAATGTTCTCCGTGAAGTGCATATTATATCTACCAAATTTCAGATTAAAACTCAACCGGGAAGTTATTTTACATAACCAAACTTTACTTGAACGTATTTTATTTTTTATTACCGAAAATTCAAATAAATACACAACAATTTTTTTTAACATTGAAATGTGCATTACTTTGCAAAAGCATTTTGGAAAATCAAAGAAAAACATTTTTCATGCTCCCCCGTCCCAATCTGTTTTGCAAAATTTCCTTTTTGGCTTGTATCAAAATGATTTCCATTTTCCATTTTAAGTATAGAAACACGGTTAAAGTGAAAAGTTTGCCCTTACTCATTACCCCTCTAATCTTCCACCCCACCCACCTCCAACTCAAATATGAGTTACATTATTCCCATTTTCTTACTCACCCATCCCTTATCACTATCACCCATCACTTTCTCCCACTTCTCTCCATATATTTCCATTCAAAGCAACAAATGAAAGGGATTCGACGTGGTCTTTTATCTCTGGTTTATGGGAAGAATCAAAGCCAAGCAGCTTCGACTCCGCCCTCCCTTACTTGGTTAAACATCTTCGACTTCGCCCCCATAGTTCACTACATGAGTAATCCCCATAACCTGACTAGTCGTCACCGCCGCCGCCGACAACTCTTGCATAAGTGGAGAACGACGATCATTGAAGTGGGCCGGACTAGATGAGTTACCGTCTAAGGGCCCTAGATTAGAGATTGGGCGTTATACTCATTTGATTTTAACATAAAATTCATTTTCAATGTGCCCAATATTAATTTGTGTGAGTTCATTTCTTTTAGGCGTATACTCATTTGAGTTTAATATAAAACTCATTCGAGATCCAATGAGCATACATGACCCACAAAATGAGTATAGAAAATTCAAAAGTTTATTTATGTATGTGATAAGTCCGTATTTAGACACGCATTTGATGCGTGCTGGGATCGGTTTTTGATGGTTTTCCTAGCTTTAAGGTGTTACAAGTCTCAATTTTAGCTCAAGTTATGTTTATTAGACGTTGGTTCGAGTTTTGTGTTGTTTGGAGTCAAATTCAGGAATTTAGAGTCCGGCACCGGCGCTTGAGAAGCAATCGGGAAGAGTTGGAGAACATTCGAGAGAGATTTGTGATTTTTGGAGGCCACCGGGAGGTTCACGATGAAGATTTGATGAAGAAACGGCCTTTGGATTGATTAAAGAAGTATCCGGGAGCAAACGGGGAAGAAAATAGCAAGAAAACGGTTCTAGAGCAGTCCGCGCGCCCCGCGGTGCGGTTCCGCACGCCCCGCGGGCGATTCTGAGAGCAAAAAGTTGAGGGGTCTGAACCGCACACCGCGCGACCGAAACCGCACACCGCGCGGTCCAGAAATAGCCCCCAGAAGTACCCGCGCGGTTGCATAGTGCGGCGCCCGCACACCGCGCCGGCGGAGCGAAAGTCGGAAGACGGAAAAACGCGCGGTGACCCGCACGGCGTGCGGACGACCGTGCGGGCTGATTTTCGGCCAGATTTTGAGTTTTTCTATAAATAGGCCCCTGTTTTGTCTGTTTTTGACTGATGAGCTTAGAGAGATAAACCTTATGTCGACTTTTGAGAGCTTTTCAAGCCTTGTTCTTCAAGATTAAGGGATTATTTGTAAGTTCTATCTTTTTAATTAATGACAATTATTTTTATCCATCTCAATTCCGTTGATTATTCAATTATGAATTGCGAGTAGTTTTAATTAGGGATTTGGGATTGATGAAGGGGTTAATCATGATTTTTGGTTGGATTCTTGTCGGTTTAATTGCATGAATGCGTTTAATTTGTGTTTGAATAATTTAATTGATATCTTTTGTAACCTGGAACCGCGGCTAGAATTACAATTGATTGTAGAATAAGTTAAGAGAGATCTAATTTATTCTAAGACACATTCACACACACTTAATCGTTCGCTAAGAGATTAGTAACGATTAAGGGGCCGTAAGCTCGCTCGTCTTGGCAATAATTTAGGATCCTATCGCATGAGAGATCAGTCTGGTCCCCTAAATTATTGTACTCTACGCCGCGAGAGCAGTAAGAACTTAGTAATGATTTGCTAGACTCAATTGAATTAATTTCATGTAATTAGGCCTGATCAGCCAGAAATCTGGTTACCCCAGAATCAATCCCTGTTCCCTTCGTCATTAATTAGAAAGAACCCCCTAGTTTAATCGTTTTATTCGCATTTTTATTTTCCAGCAACCAATCTCGCACGGCGCATTTTTATTTATTTCTTTTTAATCGCTGAATTTAGTTAATTCTTGATTCCCTTTTGTCCGTCCCTGTGGAGACGATTCTCGTACTTACACCACTATATTACAATCTATTTTAAGTGAGAGAAAACTCATATCAGTATGCTCATTGATTTTGAGCATTATACTCATTTGAATTTAACATAAAAGTCCATTCTAATGTGTTCAACCCTTTTTCATTTATAATCAGTATAATTCCCCACTTCAGCAACATTGTCTTCTCACAACACTGGAGTCAAAACCCGAATATCTATATGGTATATCCGGCTGTACAGTGAGCACCGTACATCCGACCCAGTAATAGGCCCAAGGGAAAAATAGCAAAATAATTCGATGGCATTTTTGTAATTAATGTGAAAATCACGGTTTATGCTAAATGAGCATTAGTGTAGTGTTACTGAGAATAGTTCAATTTGAATGATTATTAACCGTCTAATAATGAGCACCATGTTATTACAAGAAAACTGAAATCACAACTAAAAAATGGTGGCATTTTCGTAATTTCAGTAAAAATCAATTGTTACGTTAGATGAGCATTAACACACTTTTAATGAGCATCGGACAAATTATACTGAGCATTATGAGTCGAATAATGAGTATTGTAATATGCATTGTTAGGACATTTTTAAAAATGAGCATAATAGAAGTACCAATTGAGCACACGTAATTAACAAAATGAGCATTAATATGAAAGTCATAAGTTTTTCAGTAGAGCATTAAGATATTTTTATTGAGCATCAAACATGCTCTATTGAGTATTGGAATTATGCGGTTGGGCATCATGATCTGTGATGTCGTGTCTATAATCAAGTCTTATGTAAAAATATAATGAGCAGAAGACCGGTACCAAATGAACATACACAACTTACAAAATGAGTATTGAAAAAAATCAAAAACTCATTTGTTTCTGCACATTCATTTTAGGAGTTGTACTCATTTGAATTTAACATAAAACTCATTGTGATGAAGTGGCTGCGAGAGCCACGGAAGCCGATGTGATCACACTTTCTCTACAGACACATAAATGTATTAATATTTAAGATATTTTATAATACATAAATTAAAAAATAAGTTAGAAGGTTAATTGAAATAAAAACTCCAACATTAAATAATATTTATATTTTACAATTTCATTTTAATTGAATAAAAAATTAAAGCAATCAAAGATTGTCAAACTAAAAAGAAAAAAGAAACGAAGAATAAAAACAAAACAAAACAACAATATGTAAAAATTGTTTTTTCACCGGACTAGAGAAACGTACGGAAAAAACAAAACAAAAATAAAGACAAAACAAAAGTACAAAACCAGGCACCAGAAGGCAGAAGCAAAGCAGAAGGAAAAAAAAAGTTGTAAGATTCAAAACAAAGATTCAAAACAATGAACTAGAACCAGAAGAAAACTAGAAGGAAAGCAGAAGGAACGAGAAGGAAAGCAGAAACAAGATGAACTGAAGTCTGAAACGGAGGGTAAAAAAGAAAGAAATGGATGGAAACGACGGAAAACAGAAGGAAAGCAGGAGCAGCTAGTAAAGTTCAGGCCGGAAGTTGTATTTAATTTAAAAAATACCCGGTTGTACGGTGCTCACCGTACGATCGGTTGTACGGTATAATTTACCGTCAAAACCCCCAATTAAGAAGTTCAATCGGCAGATACAAAAGGAATGGAGAGGAGTCACAACCCAATAATCCAATATGCACCCATCATTCACAACTCAAGCACTACAGATCGAAATTCAAACACTAAAATCAAGAAACGATTTTGATTTAGGGCTTTGCTATCTGGATCGAATGACGAAGCGATGTTCGGTGGTGAGAATCTTCTGGTGCGAAGCAGGATCTTCTTCTGGTGGGAAGTGAAGAACCGTAAAAGCCAAAAAAGGTCGGTTGTACCGTGCGCACGGTACAGCCGGCTGTAGGATGTATTTTACCGTGGGGTGGGGGTCTA